TGAATTGAGAGCATATTATCCATCTTTTCCCCTAAATGATTATCAAGTCATCCCAACATAATTTATTAAGTAATTCTGGTATTTTCCTACTGATTTGAAATGCTACCAGTACATTCTGTATATATCTGTGCTTATTGCAATAGTCTTTCTCCATAGCATTCATTCCATATTATTAAATCTTCCTCTATCTTTTTTAATGAATGCAAAAGATTATACTCTATGGCTAAGCATGCATTTTATATCCTATCTATTGATTAAATTGTAAACTTCTTGAAAGTTAAAAATACCAACAACCATATATCCTCACCTAGTTTACACACATAGCCCACAGCATAGTATTCTTCTTTATGTTAGATTTCAATAACTGTTATTGATTTAATTTTCTTTGTGATTTATGAGGTGACATTTCAGTTGTGTTCCAAAAATATTTAGAACTTTGTAAAGTACAAACCTCCAGCTGGATTTTTCTGGTTTTGCTTTTTACTACCATATGAAAGGGAAGCTAAAAGAGGTTATCTTTATTATGTTTTATTATAAAAGTACTCTTTTTGATCCTAGAAAAGAGAAAAGCACGTAATACCGAAGTGTATAAATAAAACCTGCAAGTTGTATCCTATACGCCTCTTCCAATTCCCATTCCTCTGAAGTAGCCAACATTAAGTTTGCTACCTACCTTCCTAAGAGATCTTATCTTTATATGTTTGTGAGCATACTGTCTGTATTCACATATTTTAAAAAACTACATTAACAGGGTGCTTTTATACTTAACAATTCTATAATTTGCTTTTGTCATTTAGTGTTAGAGGTATCTTTTCATGACAGTGTGTGTGAAATTATTTAATTCTTTTTAAAGTTTACACATGTTCTCTCATTGACTTGATATAGGAACCATTCACCTCACACCTATAAATAAATGGAAATTTAGAATGTTTTATTTATTGATTGATTTTGCCATTATGAACATTATCTGTAGGGATAAATTGCTTGAAATGGAATTGTGGAGTCAAAGGGATAAGCTTATTTAGGATTTGGTAACTATTACCTAATAGCTCTTTGAAAGGTTGTGGCAACTTAATTTTTCAATGAGGTTTGTGTGTGTGCACGTACACCTACACAATATTGAATTTAGTCTTTATGACAGTATTTAAGGTGAAGAAGAGTCTCAAAACAGAAATAATCTTGCATCTACGAGTTACATGTAAAGTGCTCAAAACAGTGCCTGAAACATAGTAAGAGCTACATAAATGTTTTCTGTTATAATTATTTTTGTTGGCTTAAGTCCATTGCATTGTGTTGTAAAAATTGAAAGTCCTTGTTAATTTTTTTCACATACTCATGTTTTGAAAACCATCACATCTGTACCTAAGGTGTTGTGTTAATGTGTTTTATCTTATAATGGAATTCACCCTCAGATTTCTATCTTTAATAGTCCAAATTGTTTAAATAGTAATTATGGAGTTAAAGGTTATGTGTGCATCACAAGGAATGTGTTGATTGGCTTGTCTTCACTGGCATTCTGTTAACAGTTTGTCAGTTAATACCATTTGCTAGTTTTGATTGTTACTGTTATGTTCTTATCTCCCCAGTTAATACTGAGGGATCAGTGACTCAGGAGGGTTCATTGAAACATAAAAGTAATGATGAAAATTAGAATGTAAGTCTATAACTATTGTAAACATTGGCAATGAGCTGGGTTACAATTTAAATATAAAATATTCATATATATGTCCTTGGAGAAGTAAATTTTTTTTAAGGTATCATGGATTTACAATCTTAAAAAGGTTTCACATGAGCAACATTGTGGTTACTACATTCACCCATATTATCAAGTCCCCCCCAACACCCCACAGCAGTCACTGTCCATCAGTGTAGTAAGATGCTATAAAGTCATTACTTGTTTTCTCTGTGCTATACTGCCTTCCCCATGACCTACCTGTATTATGTGTACCAATTATAATGCTCCTTAGTTCCCTTGGAGAAGTAAATTTTTGTGATAATTTTGAAGTTGTCTGTGAAGGAAAAGTGCAAACGAAATCTATGACTATATAGAAATGCTACTCCATTGATCTATTCCTAGTTCCTATACATTTGATGTTATAAACATGTTCGTAGAGTGTTTTTATTCACCCTTTTGCAATATTTTTCAATGAAGCATAATAGTATATTCAGCAAGTATATTCTAGAATAACTTAATCAGTAAACTTGATTAATCATGTCATTAATGCAGAGAATTGATACAAAGCATAGAGGTATCCTTCACAGTTCCTCTCCTTTCAACAATAACAGGTACAAATCACATTATCCCTAAGCAATTTCTAAAACCATCTACAAAGAATGGAAAAATGCTCTGAGAGAAAGCTAGTAGAGCTATTGGCAAAATTCCTTTATCAGTGCCCTTATTAAAATCCCATGTTGCATAGGCACAGTTGCAGGGGGGCCATCAGGTGAGAAATTGGTGATCAACAGAGGTGAGGCTTAGAACCTCACCCCCCCTGTTCTGAGAGAAATCTTCTGCATCTGTGGATGTTTTGTTGCCCTTGTCTAGCTTGGATTAATACTTAGTCTATAGGCACAGACCTGATCATCTACATTTGCCCTCTTACAGCACTAAATTATGTTTTCTACCTTTATCTTGCATCTACCTACCACTTCAGCATTTTATTAAAAAAAAATAAGGGAGAAATGTGGGATTCACATATAAATCAAGTGTAAAAATCAAATGAATAATAAAAAAAAATCCCATGTTGCTAATAATAACATACAGTGTGAAAGAGGACTCACATCCATGTATGGCGGCCATCAGCTATTATGCTTTGCATTTAGTGAAATTCAGTTGTGTAGAGAGAGTATGAATCAGTTTTTGGCATACATGCAATTTGAATATAAGAAGTAATACTTGATTATTTTTTGCCTGTTAAAAATAGTAATTCCAAGCTAAAGGAAAGTAAATTCTTTACTCTATTAATAATTACTTTGAGTGCAGTGATACAGTCTTAATATTTACAAAGTACCAGCTATATGTGTGGCGAGGAAGGGTGTTACTGAACAAAAGAACTTGTGCCTGAATGCTAATTCACGTACTGCTTTTTCAGTGTGTTGTGTTTTGGTTTGTATGGCTCCTGTGTTGAAGATATTTAGTGAAAATTTTGAATAAGGTTACATTTGGCCATAATGTGTAATTTTAGCATCTTCTATGAAAAAAAAATGGGCTATTCTTCCTTTCTGTAGCACACTAGCTATGAGAGGGCAAAGTTCTCACGTAACTTTTTAAAGTGTAGAAAGAGATAACATTTCTCTCTATATATTTTATAAACGGTACTTCTCAATGTTGAACTTAGTATCTTGACAGCCACAAGCTTATGCTTTAATGTGCCATCAACTAAATGTTGAGGATGAAGTATCAAGATTTTCTAAGACCAAAGAGCCTCACCACCAAGAATGACTTTCTTAACACTTGATGATGACTTTCTTTAATAAAGAATGAAATTCATGCTATATTTTACAACTATATACAGTGTTGTCATAGAATTGATAAAATACTTGTCAAATTTGATTGCAGCCAGAGTCTAAGAAGTCCAGTCATCCTCTTTCTTAAGTGAAATAGTCAAACTTCCAGACCTCCAGAGTTTGAATGTGATACATACATATAAACTTAGTGTCTGAAACAGTTCCAGAAATAATCTTTGAAGAGAAACCTCTGAATAACTGTCATACTTGATACAATTATCACCTATCTGATAGGTCCGAGATACTTGGCACCATGGTTTTCAATTTGTGGCCAGATACAGTAGAACTTAAGTGCAAAAGGAAATCAAAGTTACAGAGATGGCTGTAAGGTTACCATGTTGAAAGACTGTGGAGTATCCTCTGTATCTAATATGCAACTGTAATTTTTTTCATTAATTTTGTCTGTTTTGGTTATTTGAAAGTTAGAATTAATATTTTCAAACATTTGCTTTAAGTTGGTAATCCAGGTTAAGCTTCCATTAAATAGTCAACAAATGACAAAAGTTGTAGAAACATTTTTTTTTAAGCAAAGTTAGAATACTTTCTAGACATACTATTTACTTAATTAACTTGTATAAGACACTGAAATCTTCTGACCCTTGATTTCCTCATTTGTAAAATTGGTGCTGTGGTAACTAAAGGTGGTTATGCAGTAACTGACTTTATTTAATCTTAGCAACTACCATGTGAGGTAGGTGTGTTATTTCTTTTTACATACGTGGGAAAGATAAATTACTTGCCCAAGCTAACAACAGTAAGGGGTAGTTCTTAGGATTTGAATCTCAAGTCCTGTGATTCTGTGTCCATTGTTTTGCTAGCATTTCATTTTAAACATGTTACAAGTATTTTCTTTTTGTGAAATCGCTAGCACAAAGTACATTAGTCTGTAGCATTTAACATGGATTCATAATGAGATGCTTATGTTCTTACTTTCAGAAAACCTATGATAAGTTAGCACATATTATATTACTACTTATTCCAGGCTTTTACCTAAAGTTCTTTATCAATTTTTTATGGGGTCATATAAAAGGATTAAGGTGTAAGAAGTAGAAGAGAACAGCACTAATATAGCAGTTAACTGAGTGAACTGCTAATTTGGTTCTGGGATATCATCCTCAATGGCTATCTTTGCTTTATGGGTACTTTGAAAAGCTTACCACAGCAGTAACAAGTTCTTTCAGCCATGTTTGTTTGTGGTATGGGCTGTCCATTTCAGAAACTGATGAATTGACAGTGAGTGCTCTTTGTACTCATTTTATCAAATAAATGCACCTAGATACTGGGTTGTAGATGTGTCCTTATCAGAAGGTTATGGTAATCTCTAAAAAAGTGCTGCACTGATTCTGAATTGCTGAATACTGTAGTAAAGATAAGTTTTAAAAAAGAGCTGTAAACTACATTAATGAACACTTCTGTAAACTTTTTTTAAACACTTTGTGTAACCATGCCATATTTATTCAAAGCACAATATTGTTCTTGCCATTCTTTGACAGACCCCTTATCCCTCTGGACAGAATGCAGGTCCAACCACGTTGGTATACCCTCAAGCCCCTCAGACAATGAATTCACAGCCTCAGACCCGTTCTCCGGTAAGTAAGCAGAAACCTGTTCTAGATGATATTCTTCACCTAAATTTGTGTTTGTAGTAGCTTGGATTCCTTTGGCTAATATTTTTACTCAATTTTGGAAATGCGTTCTGCAGACAATTCATTATTATTAATATTGGTTCACATTGCATTTCCAGATCTTTTCTATAGGGATAATTTAAATTAATAAGAAAAAGAAGTAGAGCTTTTTATCTTTTACTTTTCTGTGGCATGAATTTTTTAGAAATTTCTGATTGCATTCAGGTTCACTTCATTTCAGCTTTAATTTGTTGCACTGTTCAAAATTCAGGAAAAGGATAAAAGCACAATGATGTTAAAAGTAAATTACATTTCATTAATTAGACTCTCAAATTGCAGTGGCTTGGGAAGTAAGACTTCTGGATCAGTGTCACTAGATCAGTTCTGACCATTTGACAGTGTGGACACATGCATGACAAACACCAGTGGTGTGTTCATTTGTTTAGATAGTAAATAAATTTTCATATAACTGCAAATGCTATCATCCTCTTTGCTCATCCTTTACATGGATTGCAATAAGTGTTGTAAAGACTGAGAATTTACTCAAAGTTCATCCTTCTCTTTCACAAAAGTATACAGTGGTTTCAGCTGTCCATTCCTTAAAACGTCATTTCTGCCCTGCATGTTTAGTTTTTGCTGGAAGGTGCTTCTGTAACATCTCACATTGTATCTCACATCCCTACCTTAACCTCAGCTCTGTGTTTTCCTCAGAATATAGGGATCTTCTTTTGGTTCCCTACCCCTGCTTTTTGCCTGTAGTATAAGAATGTTTCATTGCATTAGTTTCTACTCATTTGGTTTTATGCATGAATTCAGAAATGTTGAAATGTATGAAAGAAATGCTCGAAGAACTAGGAAAGCATAGACTGTACCAAAATGTAATCTCTTTCTTACCTACCCTCTTCCTACCTTTCTTTTCCTTATTGCCCTCTCTCTAATACCTGTTCTTAGATTCTGGTTCTCCCTGCGGGGTGGAAGAACCATTCTAAAGAGGTGGGACTTTGGTCCTAGTTGCCTGTTTGCTTGTCTCTTTTCTTGCTGAAATGGTCAACAAGATGTCTGATGCAAGTTTTGTTCTCAGAGTGGTTTGGGGATGTGGACAGTTGACTACTTGGAGTGAGCCTGAGATCTCACAAGATTAATTTAGATAGGCCCCAGTTCTAATCATTAAACATGGAACATTATGGTAAGCTCTTATTGCAAAGAATTCTATGGTCTTCTCTTCCCCCTCTCCCTTTTTATAATTATTGGGAAAAAAGAAGATTTAAATTGACTTGATTAGAACTGGTGCAAAACCTGACTGAAGAGCTGCATCTCTAAACCAGTTTTTTTGACAGCCCAGCAGAACAGTGCCAATACATTGCACAGACAACTGGAAGAGGAGGAAGGTTTTGGAACAGACTCCCGTTTACAGGTCCTTGGCTGGAAGAGGCTGGATAAAATACTGCATTGTAAGCAATATAACAAACTGTACTTCTTGCAGGCAGTGGTGCCTTTGGCACTAATTATTTTTGACCACATCCGTTTATTGGCTGATGAACAGAAATGCATTGATTGCTTCTTCTCCAAAATCTAACCTATTATGGCAGTTTCTGCCAGACATAGTGGGGGAAAGAATAACAAATTGGGTGGTCTTCTCTATTGGGAATTAGATAGGAGTAATTTGGGGTTTAGATTTTTCTTTATTTTAAACTTGAAGAGGGATATCCCTTTCAGATAAATTTGATTTTAAAAGATAAATTGCAAGGTTTCTTTTTCCCTCTTTCCATTTTGTAATTGAATATCAAGAGGGAAATTGTCTAGAGTTGTCAGCCATTGTTCTGTGGTCATAAACTTTTCAGATACTATCCTTGATGCAGTTTTTGCCATCTGCTCTGCTAGTGATCATTACCACTCCCATTACTAAAAACCACACACATAACATTCCATTACATACCCCAAAACAAGTGCAAGACTAGCAGACCCCAAACTACTCTTGCTTGTTGTTTTGGGTCCAATTTTCTTTATTTCATTTGTGTTGGTGCTGGGAGGGTGAAGTTGGGACATGAAATTTGGCAGGATTGCATTTTATTTTTACACCCCAAAATACCATAGTCTAGTCTCATCCATCCCACAGCTATCCCAACTGGTGAGGAGAGGTAAGCTGTTGCACTAAGGAAGAGACCCTTCCCTTGGCTTTGTAGGGCAGCTAAAGCTTACTCCATTCTATTTCTGCATTAATGGGCCATTGGCAATTGCACAGTTTAGGCTCTTCTGTTCTTCCCTGGACAGCTGCCTTTGCAATCCAACTGGCTTCAAGTGGCCCCCTCCCTCCCTCAGGTTATTTATGCCTGTATTTCCATATGATACTTAGTATCTTAGTTAAATTCATACTGTTGAAAATCTTGTTTGAAAGTAAAAAAACAAATACTGATAGGTACCTCTCTGTTCCATTTTCTGTTGTTGTGGAACTCTTTAAACAATAGTTTATTTTTAAATAGCCTTCAAAATAGTGAAGCTGTTGAATGCTTAATTGGGGCAGGGGGAGAGTTTGGCTTTTGCAGTAACCTGTAACGATTGGTTATTTGTATATTTAGTGGTGCTAAGTGCCAAGGTTACATCAGTGTTTATGTTGGCCATGCCCAGTTACCAACTGTGCACAGAAGAGTGGGTGGGTGGGTGGGTGGAATTAACATTGGATTCAAGTTCACAGAAGGCTGCTTTCCTTAATATCTATAGTCCTCACCATCTTAAAGACCCCCTCTTTAAAAAAACAAAGAAACAAAGGTTTCTATTTTTAATATGAGCCAGCAGCGACTACAGTTTGTTCTGTTGCTTACAGTTACCCATAGAATCAAGACTATTGTCATTCCAAATGAAAAACTCAATAGCCAATGGTGACTAGTGCAAAATAGACTAGGGTACTTTCCCACTAACTTGTGTTGGTTTTTTAAAATATATCTAAAATTTTATAAGGTACTCCTCTTGCTCTTAGAAAGTTCTCTTTTGACGGGAACATCCCAAAAATGTAAAGTTTCAACTTTTATTTTAAGTCTTAGAAATGGTACCTTTCTGTGGAACAGTGATAAGACAGGTACTGCTGTACTCAGGTTAGTTTTTTAATGTAGCCCTTTTCTCCCATTTTCTTCAAAAGTGTCATGAAGAAACATCTCACTTCTACCCCCTACTTTCATACCACTTGAGTGGTATTGCCTATTCTTGAAACTTGGTGTCCATAGTAGAGGTATGATCTGTTTTCTTTTCATAATTGGAAAACTGAAAATATAAGACTTCAGTTTCTTTGAAGAGAAAAGGTTCTGCAAGAAGTATAGTTGCCATTATCGTCATTCTGAAAAACTGTTCTACAATGGTTAGCAAATAATAGCTGACCTAACACACCCTAATCATAAAGGTCATCAAGAGCTCATTAATTTTTACTGAATAATTTCAAAATGTGTTAAGACACTTTTCATTATTTGAACAACAGGTGACATTTTACCATCTAAGGTGAATTCTTGATAGAGCTGTCTGTATCCATCTCCTACATTGTAGCATGTGGTCCACTGCAGTTTTTTGAAAATCACTTATATGAAATAATGGCAGTTGGGGAAATAATTCCAAATCTCTTACAAATACTATTGCAAGTGACTTAAATTCTGAGTACAAGGGATTGTTAATTAATCTTCAGTCTGATTCACTTGTAGTGATGAGCTGACAGAAGGAAGGCTCTATAGGAAATGAAACAACAAAAGATGTATATATTTTTTAGCTCCTTAAATATATTAAATAATAGCCTTGTATGGTTAACATTCAAAACAGCTTTCTAAATATTTTATCTTTATTATTAAAGAGGATGGTTAACATTTCAATAATTAATATATTAGCAGCCAGTACATGACACTATGTGCCTGGATAATTTTCTCTGTCCTTTTTAGTAAAATCACATTAGAAGTCCAGTTTTGTTCTGATGATATTAGGGGTTTAGGATTTAAAATTTTATGGGTGAGAAAGCTTTTTCTTCCATTCTCAACTAGGGAAAATAAGAGTTAGAATATATATTATCCACTTTCAAGTCCTCTGTGATTTTGCTGAGGAGTTTATGTTTTCTTTTGCCTTTATTCTCAGTATCAGAGAGCAGTAGGTATACATGTACAGTGTTGTGCTGTGGTGCATAAACAGTAACTAAGAAATTTGACTTCTTTTACTCTTTTTTTCTTCTCAAGGTTATAATAATACCACTTTGATTAATCATGTTAGAGGTGATACTCTTTACTAGCTGTTTGCTTTGACATGCCTGGTATTAAACTTACTACTTAATTGCATTTAAACACACACATATTTATATGTATACATACATATATAAAACATATTTATAATATATAAAAATATCCTTAAATCCCAGAAATAAAGGATGATACTGAAACTTCCATTTAACCCCATTTAACTTAAGTCAATTTAAGTAATAAAATAAATCAGTCCTGTTACATTGTTTTTTTCCTGTTGGACATTATAATTACCTCCTGGATATTTTTTGAAATATAAGAGCATTTCTCATTCCCTCCAGCTATATCAGTTGCATAAGCTTACTTGACTTTTCATATGTTCGTCTTAATATAATCACTTAGTGTTTCAAACTTTTGCTCTTAGATTTGTTTTGTTTTGTTTTTTAAACATATTTCTATCAGATAAACACCCTTACCTGCCTAACAGCTTAGCTGTTTCTCTCCCAGCTGATAAAGAGCAAGCTATTCCTGGTAGTGATGTTAACCTGTTGAATCTTAGTACCTGTCTGTCACTGTCCTGCAGCAAAGCTTTGACTGTGTGTTTTTTTTTTCTTGTGGGTTTTATTTTTTTTTGGCATATTGTGTGACATTTTGGTTTTTGTTTTGGTGTTTCTGACTCTTTGTGCCTTTCCTTTTGTGTTTGTTTTCCCTCCTTTTCTCAGTTTGCAGCGGGGCCTCGACCTGCCCATCATCAGGTACTGTACACTTGCCCCTTCACTATCACCCTTAACTAGGAGGTGGGGGCTTTAGTAGCTGCTGACTCTTAGAATGCTGCCATTCCTCGGACCCACTCAAACTACTCTCTTCAGAGAGTAGCTTGAGTCTAATGTAATTCAGTTCTTTGTGTCCTTCACTAATTTCAAAGCATTGTGTTATTAACAAACCCATTTCCTTCTGTTTGTGGCACAATTTAAAAATATAGTTTTTTCCCAAAAATAATTGTTCTGAATTTAGAGAACCTCGAAAAATTTTAGATTAAGCCCTCACAGATTTTGTAGATGTCTGTATTTAGTTCAAATTTAAATGAATGGAACAGGCAACATTCTAAGGGTTTTCTGTTAATATTCTGATGTAACTCGTATTGGTGTGTATAAAATAGCATTAGTATTTCTAAAACCTCTTAATCTCAGTGATTAACTTAGACCTCATAACAAACTGATTAATAATAATATGCATTCATTTTCTGCATAGAATTATTTTTATTGATAGGATACATAGAAAATAGATTGAATTTTAATATTTTTAGCCTACTGGTTCTTTTAAATGAAGTAATTGCTTGAATTAAAAATTTTTAAAATGTATATGCCAACACTAGTTCATTTAGCAGGAATATAGTAGAGGGGGTAGTTTGGGAGAAAGTAAAAGACTTGCAGGGATTTTTGCCCCAATTAGCTTTTTATGGAATGTTCTGAAACATTTTCTCTTGCTTCAGTAGAAAGCTCATAAGCTTTAAATCTTGACAGTCTGGGTTCATATTACCAGCTTTGCTGTATAACCAGCTGAGTTAAACAGATCTTTTTCTGAGCTTCAGTTTCCTCAGATGTAAAATGGGGATAAATACCCTCTACATTAGAGATAATATACTTAAGTCACCTGACACAAACTAAACAGTGGTTTAGGTGGTAGCTATTTTTAATATTATTATACAACACGATTGGTTTGATAAAATGAGAGAAATGCCACCTATCAGTGTTTACCTGTGATAGCATATTTAGAATTTTTATTACTGAATAAATGGATATTGTTTAATTGAAGGTGTTCATTGTCTAATAATAGTGATTTCATACAAGGCTCCATTTCTCAAAATATAGTATTTTGAATTTAGAGGATGTAAAGCCAAGCAAATTTTGAAGTGTTGAAGACACTTCACAGGAGAAGTCAGACTTGGCTGTATGAAGTAGATGGCAATTCTTTGGATTTGATAAAGAAGTAAAACTAAGGGGTATTTTTTAGAATCTAGATATAGTATTGCTAAAGTACTTTAAGATCTTAGACTTTGGTGTCAGCTAGACCTAGATTTGAGTCTTCCTTAATCAAATGAGTGTTTTTGGGTAAGTTATTTAGAGCTGTTACCCTCAGTTTTCTCATATATATATACACGGGGACAGTATTAATACCCACTTCAGGAGTGATTTGAAGAGTAAATGAGATAATGCAAATAATGTGATTAGCAGATTGTTTGGCAAATACTAAGAATCTAGGGGGTAAGGTTACTAATAATTTTTGCAAAAAAGATAATTCCTTAGGTAAGAATATTGATTGTAAGTCTTTAACAAATTCAGTCATGGGCCATAGAGGCAGGGCTTAAATTTTAGTCAGGGGTTGTCAAGCCAGATACTCGTGACAGAGAAACCTACGAGGTCTCTGTTCAAGGAGAGAGTAAAAGAAGCCATTGAGTCAAAAAAAATATTTCTGAGCTCCTTGGTATAAGGTGAAGTGTTTCTATTTCTTGTGTTCAGTAGCAGTGATCCTCAAATAGGGATGTTGCATTTAAGTTTTATAAATAGCTTTGGGAAAATCTGTTTCTGAGCTTTTTTCTGAGCCTAAAAGTTTGTGATACATTTTGTCTTTCCTTAATTCCAACAACTAAAGAAAAATAAGAAATGTTTATGGGAAAAATTGTGTTCATTTTAGTCCTGAAATCATTTTTCATGTAATATGACTCAAAAAAGTGCTGGCAGATTGGTCTTTCAGTCATCTGTATGATGATGCTTGTGAAATTACAAAATGTTTCAACCATTAAAAAATAGAACTATATATGTGTATAAATTTATTTCTTACTCATTAGCAAGAATAATAATTATTCTGACATTGGTTCTTAAAGATACGTTCTGAGATGCAGCATAAATCCAGAGCATTCCTTTTAGATACAAAAGCTTCAGGTAGCATTTCACTCTGGCATTCTTCATTTCTAAATTCCAGTTAAAATTTGTTCATTATAACAGAGAATTTAAGTGAGTAAGGAAATATATAACCTTGTCTCAGACAGCGGCAGTTTACCTGTGAGGAGTAGAGGAGGGGAGGGGCATCGGGGTTGAAGTGGCATTGCTGAGCAGGAGGTGACTGAACTGGTGTGGTGGTATGGCATAGAGTAAATTGTTAGGAAGGATTTACTATTCTGTATACATGGATGTAGGGGTTCATTTGCTTTGTTTCACTATGAAACAGGTTTTGGCATTTCAGGTGGGACAACCAGTTATGAAAAACTGCCCTGTAAATTGCAGTTCATTTAGCAACCGTTCTACTCTAAATGCCAGTAGAATTCCCCTAGTGACAATTAAAAAACAAAACAAGAACACCTTCATACATTTCCAAATACTCTCTACGGAGGAGTACTATTTCCCATTTGAGAATCACTGGCTGAATTCTCTGTTTAGATCTTCTTAGATTTAAAATCAGGGAGAGACCTAATCCCTGAGAGATTTGTGGAGGAGATGCTCATAATACAAAACAGGACATAGAGTCTTGTATAATGAAAGCAACAGTGAAAAACAAACATGGAGTGGTATACAGAGAATATATTTTTGAAGGAAAACATCTGTGTCTTGGGATATTTTTGGTTTGTTGTGCTTAAGATAAAATAAAGTTGAATTGAAGACACAAACAGTGTTTTCATCTAAGGCTGTTTGCTTTGGCCAGAAAGAATTAAATCAAGGGTTAGAATTAGCAGTTAGAATTAGTGAATTGATTTATCATTTCTCCTTCAACCTTTTCTGATCACATATCCTTTCTTGTTTTGATCTTACTATTATTATTGTATTTTTTTACAAAATAATTTGGTGCTGCATGATGTTTCCTATGATTGTTGTTTCTAAAATCCAGTGGAAATATACAACTTCTTTGTGGGTGCTTTGTAACAATTGGTTGTGTAAATATGGCAGAGAAAAAAGTTGTTATTTAGGTAAGCTATTTGGAGGTTATTGCGTGTGAAAAGAAAACGTCATAATCCAGTTAAGTACTAGAACCTATATATTTTTCTCTTTGTAAAATGAAATTTTCTGAATTGAAATGAAACAAACAAGATTTTGGGTAGTAAACATTTTTAGTTTAATAGGACCCAGAAACTGCTATAGGTTGTGCTTCTTGGGACTACTTTCACTTGGAAAATTTTTATGTGTGGCCAGGCAGGCTCTTTTTTGAGTCTCTCAAGTCAGGGATACCATGCTCCAGTTAGGATATGTCAGCCACTTCTCTTTCCTGGTACTGTTAGTTTTTGGCTTTGCAGGGATTCTTTATATTAATAAAGATGTTCTATTATTTTTGCATCTTACAACCTGAAGAGAGCTTTAGGTTAGTTTAGAATAGCACTTTTTTTCAAAGGTGAGAGAAGTCATCCTAATCATTTTATTTTACATACAAAACACCCTTGGCTTTAGAAATATGTCAACTATTTTTACTCTGATGCTTGAAAACCCCAAGGTAATTAGAAACTGAAAGAACAGAACATATACTCAAAATTTAAACAAATAACTTGAAATAATATAGATTCTAATTTGTGTTAATTTATTGTCTTTGCTCCTTGAAATTTGTGTAGTTGTGGTTTAAAGTTACTTATGTTCCTGTGTCCTTATTTTACTTTTGGGTTTCACAAGAGAGATTGAGTTTTATTTATGCACTATGAGTAGTCTTTGCATTAGGAGAAATACTAGGGAACTGGCATTTAAAAGTGTTCATAGAACAAAACATTTTGCAGTGTGTTGATATGTGATTTTAGTTCACATAGTGTTCACAAATCCTGAATAATTGCCATATTCAAAGCAATTGTATTTAGTATAAACAAGTAATAAGTTTCATAAAGCTTAACAGTATTTGGCATCAAGAGATATGCTATCTGGTGGCAAGCATTGAAACTGTGTATGCCTTCCTTTTGCAATTTGGATCTTTTTGCAAAAAGATTAAGAAGAAAGAAAACAGCTGGCTTATGTTGATTTTTTTTTTCCTTCTCCATTATGACCCCTAAAGGTTTCTGTACTCAAAGTTGTGTTGTTACATTTGAGGTCCTAGTTCCTGGTAGAGAAATACTCGTTTTGCTCTAGACAGTTTCTTAAGATTTGGAGAGTAAAATAAATGAAGGCTTAGGTCTTGCCTCTAGGGCCAGATCTGGCACATCAGAGTTTAATGGGATACTACTAGGAAATTAAATCAAACATCTATGCATTCTTGTGACTAGAACTCTTGGATTTTTCAGAGCTTTATATTAAGTCATTGATGGCCAGTTTTATCAGGTGCCTTATTCATAAGGAGTTGTAGGGTTGTAGTAAGAGACAGTGAGGAAAATACAGGTTGGGAGTTAACATAACTGGGATTCAGTTATAGTAGCTTTACTACAAACTAACCTTGGACCTCAGTTTTCTTATCTGAAAAATGGATAAAATATTCTCATAAATGATATAATATTGGGAAGTGTTAAAATTACAGCACCTAAGGGTGCTGTGAGAATTAAAGTACCTGCCTGGCACATAATAGGTCCTTGGTAAGTGTCAATTTCTTCTAGCAGTGAGACAGCCAGCCTTTCCAAACTCTTTTTATGTATGAATGAAGTGTTCTACAAGTATGATTACTTCCCAGACTCTATATTATGATCTGACAGAACCCCTTCTTGTTACTGACAGAATCCTTAGGGGTTTCTTTCCTCCATCTGACATAATTCTTCTCTAAGGCAGCGCTGTCTACTAGAACTTTCTGTGATGAGGAA